AGAGCGAGATTCCACCTCAAAAAAAAAAAAAAAAAAAAAAAAAAAAGATGGTCATGGTGGCACACACCTGTAGTCCCAGCTACTCAGGTGGCTGAGGTGGTTGGATCGCTTGAGCCCAGGGAGGTCGAGGCTCCACCGCACTACAGCCTGTGCGACATGTGAGACCTTGTCTCAAAACAACAGCAGCAGCAAAGCTTCTGAAACTATGGACAGTCTTATGTCTGAGGCTGTGATAAGTGGCAGTCACACAATCACAAAATGTGGCAGTGGCAGGAATTGGTCCAGAGGGGTAGGGAATGGTTTGAATTCTTGAATGTCTGGAGAGGTTGGGCTTGTGCAGAAGTGTCTGTGGGTAAGTGGTGTGATCAGCGTCTGGGTGGAATCCCCAGTGAAGGTGTATGTGCAGGTGTGAACATTTTGGGCAGCAGTCTATGCCTGCATGCCTCTGTGTAGACATTTGCAGGTGTTATGTTTGTATGCTGTGTGTGTTTTGGTATCTGTATTTGGGGGAGAGGTTTTGTGTAATGCGGATGGGCCTCTGTGCAGCTGTCTGTGGTTATATAAGTGCACAGGTGTAAATGGTATAACTGTGTGTGTTCTTGTATAGGTACCTCAAACACATACGTCTATGTACAGGTGTGTGTCTACATCAGGGTGCATGCCCATGTCCATGTGCTTTTGGGTGTGTATGAGTGTGTCTGTGGTGGGCAGGTATGTGTGCTCAAGGGTGTTTGTAGCCCGGCTGTGGTGGCTCACACCTGTAATCCCAGCACTTTGGAAGGCCAAGGTGGGCAGATCACTTGAAGCCAGGAATTCGAGACCAGCCTGGCCAACATGGTAAAACTCCATCTCTACTAAAAATACAAAAATTAGCCAGGCATGGTGGGGAGTGCCTGTAGTCCCAGACACTCAGGAGGCTGAGGCAGGAGAAACTCTTGAACCCAGGAGGCGGAGGTTGCAGTGAGCCGAGATCGTGTCACTGTACTCCACAGCACTCTGGCCTGAGTAACAGAGCAAGACTCTGTCTCACAAAAAAAAAAAAAAAAAAGAAAAAGAAAAAAAATGGTGTCTGCAGGGATTTACTCTACAGGTATACCTGTATACATTCCTGTGTGCTCTTGCAGAGCTGTGGGGTGTATAGGTGTGTTTAGTTCTGTGGGGTTTGGAGTACCTGGTCTGTGTGTACTAGGATAGCAGTGAGGGAGGGAGATCACACTCCTCTGCGGCCTCTCTCATGCTGTGTGGGGGTCTTGTGTCCCAGAGGGAGAACCCAGCATTAGTGGAGTCTGAGATGGCAGAACCAATGGAGGAGACCTTCAATCCCATGTCACAGCTGGCCCGCCGGGTAAGTCTTCTCTTTTCTTCCACACCAACCCTAGGCAGCCTGGCAGAGGCTTCTCTGGAGTCCTGGAAGTTTGTGCTGGGCCCCTTTCCTGACTTCCACCCCGCTTCCCAGGTTCAGGGAGTCGGGATGAAAGGCTGGCTGACAATGTCATCTCTGTTTAACAAAGAAGATGAGGATAAGCTGCTGCCCCCGGAGCCTTGTGCTGACCAGTATGTGCGTGTGTGTTTGGGGGTGGTTCTGGAAGGGGCCTGCAGTCCCCCTCTGCCTGGTCCTTTCTTTCTGGTCAGTTTGTCTTTCTAACCACAGAGGGCTGAGAAGGGGCAGCCCCAGGCTGTTTCTGTTTCTCTCAGCAGGAAACAGGCCAAATCAGCAAATCTGGGAGATTAGGGTAAATCTCAGGAGGAATTGACCAGCTGTTGGGATTGAGGTGCTAGAAGGTATTTATGGGCTTTCTCAACCCATCCACTTAGAAGGGGCCGTCTCTCTAAAATCCGAGAACGGAGAATAGCTTTAGGTCTATAGCTTCTGCAACAGAAGGTGATCCAGATCAAAGGTTCCCAAATACTGTCTAACCTTACCCTCCAAGGAAGCGTGTGACAAACATATTCCTGGACCTCCTTCAGAGACTCCAATTCGGCAGGCGTGGCAGGGCCCTGGGGATCTAGCTGTTTTCAGCAGGCTCCCCGCCCAGGACCCTGCAGCACCTACTTTGGGAACCACTGTCTTAGAAGGTCTTTGATGCCCAGGATTAGGGGGTAGGACCTGGGACCTCAGTCTCCCTCCTGGCTCTATCTCTGGCACACTCTCCATTTCTGCCTTTTCCTCCATCCTGGTCACATCCCCCTCTCACCCTTGACCCTATTCTTTTCTCCTAGGGTCCCCAAGACCCATCCATCTCTCCCTCCCCCAGGTTTCCATTCTCCTCCCCCCACATACCCATCCCCAGTTCCCTAAGGAACTTCTCGGACTCGAGGCTTCAGCTTCAAGCGCCATCACCTCTCCTTGACTGTCCTCCCCCCACATCTCCCCACCTCTCTTGAGTCCCCTTGCTCTCCCCTAAGCCTCTCACTTAGGCCTTCCTGTCGCTTCACTTTTCTCCTGTGTCCCTAGTCCCCCTTTCCCTCAATCCCAGGACCGTGCCCTGCCCATGCCCTACCTCTTTTCCCTAAGGCATCCCTCGGGTGGGATCTAAACAGCCCCTCCCGCTTCCACCTGCTCTCCCACGGATCCTTCCAGCTTCCCAGACCTACGCGCGCCTCCAGCGTCCCTCTTCGAGCCTCGCCTGAACCCCTGACCTCATTCTCTCCCCAGGGATCCCGATGACTGTCCCCTCCCTCCACACCCCTCGCCTAATCCCCTGACCCTGTCCCACCCCAGCCCCCTTTCCCAGGGCCTCTGAGCCCTCCCCTTGCCTCCAGGCCCTGACCCGCCCCTCGACCCTGTCCCCCTGTAGTCACCTGACCCCGCGCCTCACTAGAACTCCTGAGTCGGCCTGGGCTCCCCCGACCCCACTAAACCCGTCCCTCGGACCCGCCTCCTCTCCGATGTTCTCCTCGGGACCGCTCGGCCGCTCCCCTGACCGCGACCCTCTTTCGCAGTCCTCTAGCGGCGGGAAGTCCCTCGCAGGCGGCGGCGGCGGAGGCGCGCGGCCCGGGCTTCTGGGACGCGTTCGCCAGCAGGTGGCAGCAGCAGCAGGCGGCGGCTGCGTCCATGCTGCGCGGCGCCGAGCCTACCCCAGAGCCGGACCCCGAACCCGGGGACGAGGCCGTCGAGCGCCCCGAGTCGCAGGAGGCCGAGCCGGTGGCCGGCTTCAAGTGGGGCTTCCTCACCCACAAACTGGCCGAGATGAGAGTGAAGGCCACGCCCAAGGGCGACTAGCAGGCTGGCCGAACCCAGCGCCCGCTGCTCCCATCCCTGATAAAATCCCTGGCCCGACAGCCTGTGTGACTGTGTGCTTTTGTCCGGACATCAAGAAAGGCTGCTTTTGTGGGGACGACCTCGGGCGGGGTCCAGCTGGAAGGATCCTCGCCTCACCAAACATACAGGGGAAAATGACCAAAGACAGCCCGCATATCAGGATGGGTTTTTTATTTAAGGTACAACTTTCCAGTAAGCTGGGGAGCTCCAGAGGACTGCGTCCACTGCCCTCTCCAGCCTCATTTAATTCAACAAACTGTGCCTGTGGTCCTACTATGTGCGCCGTCCCTATACTAGGCAAAGGTCAGAGACTAACGAGAGAACCTGGACTACCAGCAGGTCCCACAAAAGGTGACAAATTCAGTCACAAATGTAGGGCCGTACTTGGGAGCTCAGAGCAGGTGAGGCTGACTGGGGCATTCAGGAAGGCTTCCTGGAGAATATACGTAATCTCCAAGAAGGAAGAGTGGAGAGAAAAGGAACAGCAACCCAAGCAAAGGAAGGAGGTGCATGAATGAAGACTCAGAGGTGCGAACCTGTGATAAATAGGCGACCTTGTGTGTCCTTGCAGGAAAGAGAGGCAGTGGCAGGAGCCTGGGGGCTAGCAGAAAAGCTTCCCTTCTTTTCGTGTCCGAAAGGTTGGATCCTCCATATCTCAGCCCTTCATACCCAGTGACCACAACCCAGGCAGCAAAACTTCTGGAATGGGGCCTTGTAGGATCTGGTGGACCCCAGATTTCTGGAGCAGACGCCCCTTCAGGCTCCCAAAACGCGCTATTCCCAGCTCCCAGCTCTAGTTTGGATCGACCTGGAGGCCGGTGGAAATCACAACAGTGTTAGAACTAATTCAGTAGAAGTCACAGCAGTTATCGTTTATTGAGCACTTTCTCTATGCTGGGCACTTTGCCATGCGCGTTACAACTATTTTGAAATACTTGCATCCCCTACTCCTCCCTCCTTAGTAACGGAGGGGTCCAGCTGCTTCAGAGGTCAAGTGCTTGCCCAGGGTCACACAGTAGTCAGTCGGGAACCCACACTCCAGAACCCGCTCGGTTAACCACAAAAACCGGTTTGCCTCCTTCCTCAGCTCCCCATTTAAATTACATTTTAGCTGTATTCAGCAGGTTTGCGCATCTCCCACCAAGTCCTGACTCCCCAGACCTGGCCTCCACAGGGGCCACAAGGCACCTCCCTCTCCCTTCGCCGCGGGCTCAGGGAAGGGCCTTCGCCAGCAACTTATCCCCCCTCTCCAAGGTTCAGACGCGAAACTGAGTTCCAGAGGGAAGGGCTTGCGCAAAGGCGGGCTTGCGCAAAGGCACCCAGCGCTTCAGAAGCGGGGTGTCCCCGTCCGTGCCCGGGGCCAGCCCCGCGCTCCGCACTCCCCTGGAGCCGGCTCCGGAGCCGCGGCGGTCACACCTCGGACTCGCGCGGCGGTCCGCGGGCGCGCTGGCAGCCGTACAGCCACTGGATGACGCGCGCGTTGCGCTCCACCACCGACACCGGGGGGCGCCCGTCCCGCGCCGAGCCCCCTGCCTCCGAGCCGCCGCCGTCGCCGCCCGCGCCGTCCGGGCTGTCCACGCCCCTGTCGCTGGACGTCCAGTCGCTGGCGTCCCCGGAGCCGGGCGGCGGCGAAGTTCCGGCCTGCGGGCTGGCCTCGGCGCCCCAGCTCTGCGGGGAGAAGCGCTCTGCGCCCAGAACCTCCACCAGCGCGCGCTCCAGGCCGCAGTAGTTGAAGAAGCGCTCCTTCTCCGACAGGGGCAGTGAGCACGTGGGGCACAACTCCCGCTTTCCCGTCGCTTCCGGGGCATCCTGGGGCGCGGCCCAACCCCCTGAAGCCGCAGGTCGCTCTGTGGAGGCGGGGCTACTCGGGGCAGCGTCCCGCGGGGCGCCCAGAAAGAGGCGCCGCACCAGCCCCTGGCCTTTGGCGTTCTCTTTGTTCACCGAAGCTTTGCAGTCCCGCTTCTGGCGGTAAAAGATGAGGGAGTCAGGCCTTGGCAGCCGCCTGCTGCTTCCGCGGCGGGCCGGCCTGGGCGTCCTGGGCGATGCAGGGGGCCCCAGCTCGTTGCAGGGGTGCGGCGTCAGCGGCCCGGGACTCCCACGCAGGGCTGGCTCCTGTCGCCTAGCTATCACCTGGTACGTCTTGACATACTTGGCTTTGTCGGCTTCCAGCCTCTCCACAGCGCTGGGGGTCCTTGCTCTGGACGGAGTGGAGGGAGGGGCCAGGAGCATCTTAGCAGAGCTGGGTAGGACAGTTCCTCATAAGTAGCCAGCCACGGGGCCAGGAGCGCTTGGCTTGGGCTCTCACAGACCTGCAGGGAGAGAGGAATGGTCAGGGGAAGGGCAGGAACTGTCCCTGCTCCTCTTCTGGTGGCATTCCTCAGTATGGGATCAGTCAGCCACCCCTCTCCCATCCAGGTTGGCCGGTCCCATGTCCAGGGAGTAGAGGCTCAGGCCATCCTTTTCTCCGTCCTTCAGAGACATTGAGTGGGGATCTCTCTTGCCACTCAGAAACATATGCCCCTTTGAAGGTGCCCCGGTCTGGCCACAGGGCCATGCAGGCAGGCCTCAGCAAGCAGGACACTTGGAAAAGGAAACGGCTGGTCCCGGCCCAATTCCTGAAAGTGGCTTCAACCGGAAAAAATACCTCTTCCCAACCCAGCAGCCTTGAGCACAAGACAAGGAGGCTCCCAGCCACAGGCTGGCTCCAGCAAGGCCCACCCTTCCCGCCCCCAAACACCGAGGTCAGGGATATAACCACAGGGTAGGAGCCTCCAGTAATTGCAGCCAACTGCCCTTCCCAGGCCCAGCAGGGCCATCCGGGCAGGAGAGGGAGGTGGTCCCCAGGCCCTATCAGCTACTGCCAGCTACTCTGCCCCTGCCAAGGGGATCTCGGAATGCCAAACTGTAAACATTACCTTGTTTAACCTTTGCATTTCCATTTCATGAGGAGGAAACTGGCCTAGAGAGAAGGGGGGGGGACTTGTTCGGGTCCTGTTGAGAGTTAGGGGCCAGGACTGGAACACAGGTTTCTTGCCTTGCAGTTCAGATTGGATCTCTCACTTGCCTATCAGAACTTCTCTCTGAGGCTTGGGGCAATGGCTGACACCTGTAATCCCAGTACTTTGGGAGGCCGAGGCGGGTGGATCACCTTAGGTCAGGAGTTCCAGACCAGCCTGGCCGACATGGCGAAACCCTGTCTCTACTAAAAATACAAAAATTAGCCAGGTGTGGTGGCGCTCACCTGTAATCCCAGCTACTTGGGAGGCTGAGGCAGGAGAATCACTGGAACCTGAGAGGCAGAGGCTGCAGTGAGCCAAGATCACAGCACTGCGCTACAGCATGGGTGATGGGGCAAGACTTCGTCTCAAAAAAAAAAAAAAAAACCTTCTTACTGATATTTTGTGTGTATTCCTGCTGCTATAAAACCAAGCAATTTCCGTTAGAACTGGGCCCCTTGCCTCACTAAAAAGTTCCTTCCACTAATTATTCCTAATAACTTGTGCTCTTCCCAGAATTCTGCCCTCAGGGTCCTTGTCCCCTTTTTATCCTGAGACCTCCTGACCCTTCTCCACCTCCTTTCTGCCGGGGAAAGGGGCGAGGAGGGGTTGTAAATCAAGAGCTGACAGTTCTCTTAGCAGTAACAGAATGGGCCACCCACATGGCCCTGCACACCCGACCCCACCCTATCTCCCCCTACTCCCCCTAAGTCTGGGAGGCTGAGGGACTTTGGATCTGGGGACAACAAAGGAACAGAACTCGCCAGGGAAGCAGGGAGAGGGTCTGCGAGAGGCCTTGGGGCAGAGACCCTGCCAGGCCCAGCCCACCCCCATGCCCATCATTCAGTCTGCCCAAGGGTAGTTGAGGCCTGGGAACCAAGGAGAGCCTGGCAGTGTCCCCCTCGCTGTCTCTCAGGGATTCTTCAGGGCAGTGGGTCGGATTCCAAGATCCCAGGAAGGCACTGCTTGTCTGACCCCGTGGGTGCCCTCTGTCCTCTCCTCTTCTCCCCAGCCCTGAGCAAGGAGACTATAAAAAGTCCTTAATCACAAGGACCAAAATAGTCTGTCATCCACAGCCTCTTCCCTGCCTTCCGGGCTAGCCTGGAGGCCGGACCTCAGACATCCCACCCTAGAAGCCTGGCAGGCGGCCTCGGTCCCTCCATCCCCTTGCTCGCCTTCTCCCAGTCCGGAAGTTTGTGTTCTCAACTCTGCCCAAGGCTTTGGCTCTGGGCATGGGCTATCTTTTAGGCTCACTAGTTTGGCACCAGTCTCCCTGCCCTCAGGTTCCTGGGTTCCTTCCCACCCCAGCCCTGGGCTCAGGGTGCACTCACCTCTGCGTGGGAGGCCTAATTGCAGGGGTCCTTGGGCAGGTCCAGACTGAGGGCAGGAGTGGACAGCAGGGACTAGAAGTAACTTTGGTGGCGGCCAAACCTCACTCTCCACAGGAAAAGCAGAGAGAGCCTCCACCCCCCGCCCCCCAAATTAACCCTTGCCTTCCTGACGAAGAGCCTGGCCTCATTAACTCCTTCCTGATCACAGTCTCTGCACTATGAGGACCTGTGAACCAAGTCCAGCTCCCTTTATTTTACAGATGGTCAAACAGTCCCTGCCCAGTTGGCTGGGGAGGTACTGTGAGCGTGGGCAGAGCCAGGACTCTAAACAAGGCCTCCTGATCCCCAGGCTTCCTCCAAAGGCCTGGAGTGGGGGTGCTTTGTATGTGGGACCAGCCCCCTCCCAGGGCTGTGGCAGATGCTCTGACAGTCTGAATGGGAAGGCAGAGGAAGGTTCTAGTCGACTTGCTTTTTGCCCTCTGTGGCAGGCTGAGACCTGTCCTGGTCTGGATGCTGGGTGGTGTCAAGCCTACATTCCCTAGGGGTGAGGCCAGGAATCTGCAGCCTAAGGCTGGGGGCATTGGTGCTGCAGATGTGCAGGTGAGCCTGTGCTGGCAAGTCTTGGCATGAAGGTGACCCTGGAGCCCACTAGAGCTGCCTCTGCCCAAGGTCCTCTCATGGCAGATGGAATTGGCTGGGAAGACAATGATGAGGGGCTGATTCCAGGACCAAGCCCAGGTCATTCGGTCCCCTTCCTTCTCTGCCCACACTTGAAGCCTCTTAGAGCTTCTTCCATCAGAGTTTCTTCTCTGACACCTTATGTCTCAAGGTGAAACCGTACCTCTTAGGAGAGCTCCTCCCCTGTCCCCAGCAGACAAACTAAACTCCAGCTCAGAGTTCAAAGACCAGTTCCCCTGCCAAAGGATCCTTGCCCCTTGGCTGGACACCTTCCCATGTTCCTCCTCCTCGTTTCTAGCCCTCTCCATGTTTGCAGAGCATGTTCCCATCTGTGCTCTCTGATCTCCTTTGACCCCTGCCCAAGGACCCTAGGCAGAAGTCCAGCAGGAATGACCCCCTACTTAATGAGTAAGGAAACAGGAACTGAGGCGGGAGAGAGATGCCCAAAGCCCAGCTTCAAATCCACGCTTCCAACTGCACCCTCTGCCTGTCAAGTCAGTAATGGGTCTGAAAAGCCAAGGCCCATCTCCTGGTAAGAGGTTTTTATTACCTAAAGGGGGGATTTTGTTTTGGGGACTTTGTTGGTGATAGTTCCATATGGAGTAGTCACACCACCTTTTAAAATGCCATCAGCTACATTGTCATACTACCCATGACAATCTTTGGAGAAGATTTTCTTATTTTTCCCATTTATGGCTGACGAGACTGAGGCTCAGAGAGGAGAAATAACTTCTCGAAGCTCACTGAATTAGGAGTAATAGCTAAAGTCTGGCCCTGTCGCTCAGGCTGGAGTGCAGTGGCGCGATCTCACTCGGCTCACTGAAACCTCCACCTCCCAGGTTCAAGCAATTCTCCTGCCTCAGCCTCCTGAGTAGCTGGGACTACAGGCGCATGCCACCATGCCCAGCTAATTTTTGTATTTTTAGGCCACCCTCCTCGGGCTTCCAAAGTGCAAGGATTACAGGCCTGAGCCACTGACCCCAGTCAATAACTTTATTGAGAGATTAATATATGTTAGGGGCTCTTCTAAGTACTTCACATAAGGATTAACATATTTAATCCTCAAAAACAACCCAATGAAATGGCATTTTTGGGCCGGGCATGGTGGCTTACGCCTGTAATCCCAGCACTTTGGGAGGCGGAGGTGGGCCGATCACTTAAGGCCAGGAGTTTGAGACCAGCCTGGCCAACATGGCAAAACCCCATCTCTACTAAAAATATAAAAATTAGCTGGATGTGGTGGCGCATGCCTATAATCTCAGCTACTCAGGAGGCTGAGGCAGGAGAATCACTTGAATCTGGGAGGTGGAGGTTGCAGTGAACCAAGATCACACCACTGAACTCCAGCCTGGGCAACAAGGCAAGACTCTGTCTAAAAAAAAAAAAAAAAAAAAAAAAAAAATGGCACTTTCATTCTTCTAACTTTATAGATGAAGGCTGGTGGTGCCAGCTTGGTCCTGAGATCTGGTCAGGAAGGGGTTAAGCAGGGGAGGTGGGCAGGGCCCAGCTGGGATACTGTCAATGGCAGGAAACCTGGCCCACCACCGCAGCAGCTGAGGGGGGAGGATGGGGATGTTGTATCTGACTCTGCAACCCCCATCCCTTTGGTCTTAAAGGAGCATCCAGGTTGGGTGGTGGGACAAGCAGGATCAACGGCAGATGCTGGAGTACAGAAAGAGGGAATCCGGGTACAATGCAGGTGACGCTCTGGGGCAGCTCTTGGTCTTCCACGCCGGAGCCCTCAGTTAGAAGTGCCCAGGAGAGTTTGGTCAGGGAGGGGAGACAGCTCCAGCTCTGGGAGCCCCCAGTGAGACAGGAGTGGCACAGCTCTGCCCTCAGGGATCTCTGGCGCGGGTTGGGGGAGGGCTAAGCAGCCTTGCTCTCAGGAGCTCCCCGTGTGAGGGCAACAGACCTCTGCCCCGGTGCTGATGGACAGAATCCTGGGAGACAGGCACAGACAGACCTTCTACCCAATGGGCAGAGCAGGGTCTGGGAGGAGAGGTCGAATTGGATTGACTTTCTGGGTAAAGGGGCTCTGAAAGAGTCAGCAGAGGAGAGGCAGGGGGGTGGATGAGAGGATAAGGTGGGCTGCATCTGCCTGGCCTCAACTTCCAGCCACCCTCTCTGTGAACCGGACTGTCCCTGTTTCTGGTTGTGGGTCCCCAGGGACTGCCTTAAAGTGGCTCTTTCCGGCCCTAGAGCCAGGACTCAGGCAAGGGGGAGGCAAGTCTGAGGGTGTTTCCTTCCTACTTCCCACCTCATTCCCAGATCGCTTTGAGACTGGAGATCAGATCGGAACCGGCCTGAGTCAGAAGGTCTCCTTCCAGGAGAGGGTGGTGGGAGGGTGGGGTAGCAGCTCTGGTCAGTGTCGGGAATAACCAGCCGGGTCAGGGAGGCCTTCAGGTCTAGTCTCACACCCCACACCCACATTGTCACAGAGGAAACGTGTGTCACCCCCCTCACTAGCTGGCTACAGCCCCCACACCTCAGCCCTGCCTTTGATTCCAGCCCTAGTCTACCTCTCCCTGGCTGTGTGGCCTCAAGCAAGAACTTAATTTCTCTGAGTTTCCTTCTGTGTCAGAAGGTGGGAATGGTGAGACCCAGCTCCGTGTGGTTTGGAGAGGCAGGGAAGTGGGGACTGTAACCGCAAGGTGCTCTGGAAATGGTAGATGAATCTGACTTCAGTTTTTGCCCTTCACCAATGCCTTCCTGCACCTCTGGGCTATATCTCTTTTCCTATTCCCACAGTCTTGCTCACAGCTGCCGGCCACAAATCACCAGGAACACTGCACTGTGCCACGGGGTCAGTGGATCCGATGTGGTTTTGCTCTCTCAGATGATGGCAGAGGCAGGAAGTGCCCCACGATTGGCGAGAGACCAGTGCTGCCGCAACCAAGATGAACACAGAAGGGGGTGGTGGTCTCTTCTGCCACGGGTGGGGTGGGAAGTTTCAAAGAGGAGGGGTATCTGAGCCCAGCTGGAAAGGGATTTTTGATTGGGTTGGCAGTGGGGGAGATGAGACAGCGCGGGGCTGAGAGCACTGCAGGCGCCAGGTCTCAGTGAGGGCAAGAGGCCAGGGAAGGGTCTCCGAGAGTGAGAGAGGGAGGAGCAGGAGAGAGGGCGGGAGGGCTTGCGAGGGAAGACGGGGTGCAGAGAAGGGATGGGGTTTGTGAGGATATGGGAAGCTCAGACAAAGAAAGGGCTCGAGGGACTTAGCGAAAAGATGGAAGCTCAGGGAAGGCACTGGGGTTTCATGAAAGGAGAATAGTTGGGGAGAGTTGGGGGTGTCTGCCAGGCCCCAAGGCCACGGGAGGATCCCCCCACAGAGATTAGAGCAGCCATCCTCTAATTCCAGGTTTTCCGTTTCGGAAAGAATCTCAGCCACAACAATAGCCTGGCCCCAGTGCCTGCTCTCCCTCTGAGGGGTGTGGCCTCTGGGCAGAGCCAGGCCCCGCACCCACCGCCCAGGACTCACGGAGGAGGGAGGAGGGGAAGAATAGGAAGGAAAGTGCCATTAAACTTTTTTTTTCTTTTTCTTTTTTATTTTGAGGCAGAGTCTTGCTCTGTTGCCCAAGCTGGAGTGCAACGGTGTGACCACGGCTCACTGCAGCCTTGACCTCCCTGGCTTGAGTGGTCCTCTTGCCTTAGCCTCCCAAGTAGCTGGGACCACAGGTGTGCAACGCCACACACAGCTGATTTTTGTATTTTTCGTAGAGATGGGGTTTTGCCATGTTGCCCAGGCTGGTCTCAAACTCCTGACCTCAGGTGATCCGCTTGCCTCAGCCTCCCAAAGTACTGAGATTACAGGCGTGAGACACTGACCTATTTACTTATTTTTGGATACAGGATCTCATTATTGTCCAAGCTGGAGTGCAGTGGCATGATGATAGCTTATTGCAACCTTGAACTCGTGGGCTCAAGCTTCAGCTTTTTGAGAGTAGCTGGGACTACAGGCACATCACCACCACACCTGGCTTATGGGGTCCTTTAAAGGGCAGGAGCCCCCCTATCCAGTTCTAAGGGAGGCACTGAGCTATGGTCAGGGAGGTATTGTGTCACATTGAACATATCCAACCCTGGGGAATTACCCCTTTATACCCAAGGAAGGCAATGCCCGGGCTTAACCCTGTTAGGTGGATTTTTCAATTACTTACAACTGAAATAAACCTGAAGGAACACATCATTCTCCCCTAAAGTAGGATGATCTTTTTCATCATGGCTGTAACATTGAACCTGTGCAGCCCCAGTTTGCCCACCACCCAACCCATCTCCACAGTAATTTGGAAGGTATGCTGACCAAATACGTCCAGGTTTGTTTAAAGCTGTCTGGAAGTGCAGTAGACATTCCCCTAAGAAGTCAGGGGACCAAAGTTCTGGTGCTGACTTTGCCATTAACTCACTCTTTGTCTAGAGTAAGTCACTTTCTTGA